GACAAATATTGCTTGGCATTCCACATTATAGGTTTTTGTTTTCCACACATATTTCAAAGTCTTTAGTAGTATTAATATTTTTAATTGCACTATATTTTTTTCTATTTTTGAATGTACTTTCTTATTTAACCATATTTTAAGGCAAGTACTTTCTTCAGTTCCGGCTTGTCAGGGTTGGGGTATAAATGTACATTTTTTTTGTTTTCCCTCATTAAAAATTTTCTAAATATTAATTAAATTCTCGAATTTTATATTGGTTAGCCCATAAACAGGCTATGTTCTTTGATATTTATCGAGAATCCAACCTCTTGAACAAGATATCCTCGGAAATGTAAAATTCATTCATTTTTATTAAAATATTTTTAAAAAACTTGTTTTTCACAGTTCTCGAATTTGTAGAATTGATTGCTTAGACATTTGGAACGAGTTTCAGTTTTATTCAGCGAATCTTCTGTTAGTTTTGAGTTTTCTTTTTTCATTTTGAATATAATAAGTGAAACGTTTTACGTCTCAACAGATCAAGATGCAGAATGTGTGGCCAAAATGTATTACATCATTTTCCCGTAGACGCTAATACCAACGTTTTCTAGATTCCAATAATTTCTTTATTTCATCCCAACGTATATATGACCTGATATATTATGATAATTGATTGCATCGATGCTTTCATAAGTTTCCTATAAGTAATGGAAATACGATAGTCTCCTCAAAAATTCTTTAACGAATGAAATGATCTTAGACAGACCTTTTTTAAAGTAATATAATTTTTGTTTTACAGAAATGGCAGCAATGCTTTTTACGCTAATAAAATTTTTATTTTACATGCTATTATACTCGTAGCAAATAATTAAGTGGCATTTTAAAAATGTTATTATAGAAAAGATAGCTTAAAGGAATTTTGGAAAATTACAAAAGTATTAATAGTACTTAAAATAACTCGACTAGTTTTGAAGGTTTAAATGTAGAAACATCTTCTTTATCAGCAAAACTGCAAATAACGAAACAGAAGCTTGCGCTAAGGCGATGACGATAAGAAGAAGGAACGCACGCCATCTATTAATGAAAGATAGAAGGAACTACGAAATAATTTCTTTAAAAACTGAGGTTAAAGACGGCTTAGAACTGGGATCGTTAACTATAATTGAAAGATTTTTATGAATATGAAATGTCTCCAGAAAATCTAATTTGCAGCGGAAGAATTTTTGTTTTGAATAATTTTGGTTGTAAAGAATAGAAAAAAGAAGAATGGTATTTACTGATCAACAGTGTTGGGCGACAGGGAATTTACGTGTTTCTTTTTTCCTAAAATGTGTCTCATATTCCTTAGAACGAAATTTTAAGGCTCTCTTATTTTGACCGATGTAAATTAATAAATTGAGATTTTAAAAAAATCTTTCAAAAGAAATTTTAAATTAATGATCATTAATCAAAATTAATGATAATTAATCAAAATTAATTACATTAATCCTTCAGATATAATTGTCTAAATTGCAATACGCAATATTTTAGCCATATTTAGTGACAATATCGCTTTAAGACGAATTCAAATAAACACGAGAGAATAATAACACAGATTAAAGACAACACAGAGTTATAACGGAGAACAGTACTTGCGTTTCGTTAAGATAAGGGTCTTAAAATTCTACTTTTTTTTCCTTAAGCAATTTTGCAACAAATATTCTCTTATCTTTTGAAAACTGTCAGTAATTCCTTTTCTCTTCATAAAGCATATCTCTAATACAAAACCGGAAAGTTTATATTATGTTTTATGAAAAAAGGAATGAATAGTTAGCTAAACTAAGCAACAGCATTAACTCAGAATGGGAGAGCTTATATTTATGACAAGAATTTCCTGTTCTCGTAAAAGTGTTTTTAAATACAGACAAAAAATATTTAGCTGAAAATAAAACACAAACTTTCATATTAAGAATAAAATTAAATTATAAATTAAGAAATATAAATTGAAATATATAGTTTTTCATTATATCTTTTATTTCTTTTTATATTACGCTTATTTAAAATATTCGTACTGTATAGGGATGAAACTTCTTAAAGTGATTAAGCATTAATACTTTCAAGGAGTTTTTGGTTTTAAAAATATGTTTATAATATATGCGGCTTAAACACAGCGGAATATAAAAGCAATAATCCCACACATGATTAAAAAGAAGCAAAAAACGTCTTTGTAGGAAATCCCATTTAGCATAAAAATATAATAGAGTGTCAGCAATAGCTTAAAGGATATAACAATAGAAATGTTACATTCTAGATCTCATCAACACATTTTAAAACAGTTTAAATCTTATTAAGGTATTATAATTAGTTTTCTGAGTTCTGTGACGTTCTTTTTTAGTAATTTTTTAATGTGCAAATAGATTTCGAACACAAAATGTTTGTATATTCAGAATTTTCTGAAAGAATTATTATATTATTTTGATTTACTGGTACAAAAATCCAAGAATTATTTTAGTAAATAAAGTATGCATAACTATCTGTTAATTTCTAAAAGATGAGACTATTTAAGAAATGAAGAATAAAGAGGTGAATAAATATATTCAGGTTGTCTTTTCTGTGATATATTAAATTATTGTAAATTAAATGGTTGATAAAAGAATTACACACAATTTTATTCACCAAGTAGAAAATTTTTAACGGTGAAGGCATGGGTCATGTAATAATAGAAACTGTTAGCTTCAGAGAATACAAAATAATAAAAATGTTGAGATAAAATGAAAGCCATGAAAAGAAATGCAACTGGATGACTTTCTTTACGAGTTTAAATTGAATAAATCCGAAGAATGTTGCAGATAAATAGCAATAAAGCCTTAATGGAGAAATTATTGCGAAATAATTCGTCTGGAATTGGTTGTCTATGCTTAGATTATTTATAATGCAGTAGTTAAGATTAGGAGATGAAAATCTCTAATTAAACTTTCTACACTTCCCTCTTAAATTCAAGAGTTTGTTGAACAATATTCACATTTTACAGCAGAGGATGGGGTTTAGAAGTTACTATCTAATGATTTCGTAATTTAAAAATAATAGGTACGATAAGATAGCATAACATGTGGCATCACGTAAGTTCACAGAATAAAGCGAAATATTAGCGATCTGCTTCGAACGGGAAAGTTTTCTTTAATATGTTACGACTGATTATGAAAAAGGGATCTTCATTGATAGGTGTGCGGCGGACCACGCAAAGATAAGGAAGTCATATCACAAAATCACACCCTCACAAGTGGCAAACTTCGAGGTGTGAGACGACATGGTCTGACATTGCAGGAGCAATAACGTGTTCATTGCTCCTCCATCTGACATTACAAAAGCCACAAGTTTATGACCAGTACCACAGGATTACAGAGATCTGCCCTATGCCTTTCATCAAGGCCTCTCGAATTCATGTGGCCGACTGGCCACTGATCCTATTAGCTCCTCCGATACCACTTTCAAAGATAACGAATCAGAGGACGTAAAATACAACCGAAAAATTAAAAGAGCGTGACTAATTCAATCTGCAAAATGTTCCAGATAGAGCAAGTGCTCAGAACGGTATAAGATTTTCAACTAAAAGGATTCTTGCCCCTTCAAGATCTTCATTTAATGAAGACAATATTTTACTTGTAAATAACCACTTGTATGCATTCAGTATTATTTGAGAATTATTATATATGTCGTTATTATATTGCTAATAGAGCTTTTCGTAGATTTACAATAACATGTTATTTTGGTTCAAGGTTTGTAAACAAAACTTAACCTAAACGCAACTGACACCATTTATCCTTATGGAGTGGCTCGACTAGCGCATCAGCTCGCCAGATGTTTGTAATCAATTAAGTTTGTAATCAAGTAAGAGCTAAGAGAAAGTGCAAGCTGCCTTTTAGAACTGTCTCTAGGTCCAAAGAAGAAAATGTTTCCTATGTACTTCTTCGGTGTCATGCGCCGTTCGTTCGTACCACGGGATCAGATTAAAACAGAAGAGCAGATCAGTGCTATAATGTGATAAATGCAGTAAAATGAAATGATCAACACTCGTTAACTGACATTTAATTCTGCTACTCCAAGTCAAATTCAGTGTTTTTCATTGAAGTCATGTAATATATGCATAAACGGGGATAAATATAAAAAAAAAAATTAAACTGTTCAACAATGAGTGATGGTTTTCTTGTTAAAGAAATGTTTTATTAATAACTCCATGCATACGAAGACTCATTTCCCAAAGTGGAGTAAAATACAAAGGGATTCGTTGAAGCTGCTGGCGGTTGCATTGAATAAGTAGGTTTGAAGCTTGCTTTTTTTGGTGCGCATTCTTTGATGCCCATTGTTCGCCCATATCATTTGCAACAACCAGCTATATTACTATAATGATGCGACGGGCTTTATTAAGACCTGGACGCTGATCTGTATTTAAAACCGTAACACTCTATTCAAGACCTATTTAATGCCAATTTAAGACATGCTTTATCTTATTAAAATTATCAGTGCAAAGTATTAGTAATAAATTTTAATTAAGATGATCTTTCGAAACATAAGATTTTTGGGCTCATGGGTTCGGATAAGCCTTGAGCCCACAAATCTTACATCTGATTCTGATTAATTTCTTAATGACGTTCCCAAACCTACTACAACTCAGCGATTAGTTTGCACACAAAGGTTTGCAGCGAATTTTGCAAGAAGGTTTCGTTTCCAGAAAGAGGCAAAATAATGACATAATTTTTAACATGGTAAACGGAATTTACAGAACATAAAACATTTATAGAACATATTTTAGTTTCAAAACAGCTCTTTAATCTTAAGCATTTTATTGATACTTGATAAAAAAATAGTAAAATGAATTATTTGAAATGTTACCCATTTACTTTACTTTAGAAAATGGGTAACTATGGTAACTATCTGATCTGTGTATTTAACACTGTTTTAGAATGCTTATAGCTTTCATTGATTATCTTTTCAAATAAGAATTAAAAGTTAAAAATATAATAGTGGAAATAAGAAATATTTACCTGGCAACAAGACAAAGAGTATGCCATCCTTGGGCGACAAGGAAACAAAATCCCATACTAGGAATATATAAAACTCTCTCGGCAACCACAAAACCGACTGGAAATAGAAGATTGGAAGCAGGAAGGTACGGAAAAACACATAGAGATAAACCCTGAAACAGAAAACAATAAATAGAGATCGGAAATAAATTTTATAAAGTAGATATCGGAATGTTATATATCAAATCACTAAGATATTTGTACAGAAACATGAAAACAGTAGTGTTACTATATTTCGAGAGCATAAAACTAACAATTCTCAGAAGAAGTTTTTAAGAAAAATGAAATATATACAGTCAAATAAATATTTATTCATTTCATTTGCTACCTTCATATTTTCAGAAGAATAATTCTTTTAAGGGAACTATGTTATCATTTATCAATTCATGGAATTCGATTCGTCAGTCCCTTATACTTCAGTGTTACTTTGCAGCTGAAATATCAATTTTACGAAATGTTGACACACACTGTTTCTTGAAATATTTGAAGACTGCAATGAACATATAAATCTAATAAATCACTCAGGGGATTTTAAAAAAGTTTCCTTTTAGTTTGGGACAAGAATAAGTGAAAGAAAATTAAATTTTCGATTCAGAGAGTCTACGGATTAGAATTTTAACACTGTTTAACAAAACTTATTTCTACTCACTATTGCCATCATTTATTTTTTCTGCTCCTATTGTACAATTCGGAAAATTCCTGTTTTTTTAAACTTATTATCATGCCTATATAAGTTTAATAAGAAAATTGATTAATATCAATTTAAACACAATTCTAAAGATGGCCTAGTGGTCTCTCAAAATTTATATTTATCTTGTTTGCACAGTTCTATTCAATTTTATTTTATTTGAAAATTTTCAGAGTAATGAAAGCGTTTTAGGCTTTTATAAATAATCAAAATAATTTAGTTAAAGTATTTAGCTGTCTCTCCTTTTAAATCACCAAAATTTTATTTTAATTCTTCAGAGCGGAGCAGATATTCTGTTTTGATGTCTTATCTGCCGCCCAAACGGGATGGTCTTTAATGACTCTTGACTGCTGTGCTAAAGGGCTGGGTTCGAATCCCGGAGAAGACACGGACATTGCAAATGTATAGTGTCTTTGCGGCATGGGGCACTGTAAATACATGGCGAGCCGAAAGTCCTTGTGAATTGGTGATACAGGAAGAGCGAGAGTGACCATCGGACCATCCTTGGAAGCTCTTCCTCAAAATTGGGGGGGGGGTGTAAATGGGCAAAATCGTACTGTCACCTATGTGATCCCCAAGGTTTTTACCAACAACAGGATTAATCTTGAATTCCTTGCCGCGATGAGTTTCATGGGCTTGTTCTGATGTCACACGAGAGACATTAGTCACAACAATAGCAACAGAGATGTCGTCTTAGCTAGTCTGCCAAAGGCATTTATTCGATATAATAACAAAATTGCCTCTGTTTAATAACTTTTGAGCTTCATCATTCACAAAAAACCCACACTTCATTACTTGCTAAATCAGGACATATTATTAATTTTATTGAAGCACAGTACGTACTTGAAAGTGCATTTAATGTACAAACTATACATACTAAATTTGTATGTTGTTGTTTGTATAAATTGCGTACACATGGTGTGGTTTGCACGCAATATACTACAAATAACATTGCACTGCTTAGGAATTCTTTGTTCAGCAAAAGCGGTACTGGTATGTTTAGTGTTATCCAAGGTTTTAAATGTAATCATCTTTATGTTATAGAATCAGAAGAAAGTTAATATTTAACTGACTAAAAAAATTCTGTTGCGCTTAGTTTAAAATTAATTTTTTATATTTCATTTTCCTTGCGAAATTTCACAATTTGCTCGGCAAAAATTTATTGAAAGAAAATTAGTAATTGATAGATTGCTAAAGTAAGAAGAAAGAAATTAATAATTAGTTCGCAAAATAAATACCAACTGCAAACGTTGTGAAATTAGCTGACAAGTGTTTTTTATTATTATCCCCCGATTTCTTTATGCATTCAACAACAACAACAACAAAAAAAAAAAAAAAAAAACCTTCTGAGATGAAATTAATAATAAATGGCTGAAGAAAAAAAAAGGAAGGCGGAAATTATTGTGAATGAAAAGATTTTTTTCAGAGCTCAACTGAAATATATTTCTCAGGTATATGAAATATTTTTTAAATCCATTAAGATAGCTCTTTTTTGTTGCTTCATTTTCGTGAAGGGGAAAAAATTAAAACAGATTTGAAATTGATCGCCATTTATGAAAAATTTAATAAACATTTAAATGTTGTTATTCTGTTAAAAAAAAGATGTCTTAAAAATACCTCAAGGGCATAAACGTTTTTTGAGTCCTATGATAAAATGCTGATATATTTTTGAGAATTTTCAATGTTTAGTTATCTGCATATTACTAAGATTATACTTAGTATTGCTTAAATTAGGTCAAAAGAAAATGTTCTGCAAATTTGATTTAATTAGCAAAAAACTAATTACCATATTTATTAAAAGAGATAATTTTTTAAAAGAAGTGTTTTGCTTCTAAGCATTACAGTTGTTGTAATTTGACTTCGTACGAAAATATAATTGCCCTTAGTTAGTAATTAGCTTGGAGGTCATTTTCGCACATAAAAAAATCTTTCTTATTTAATAGCCATTCCTATTTCGAACTAACATTAAATATTCCCCCCTCCAATATCGCATTGCCAGAAAGGCTTGATACGTATATTGAAAACTGAACAATTTAGTTTTATGACTCTGTACATTTTACGTTTAATAACGTAATTAAATAAAACATTGCATTCATATAATATGAAAAATTATTTATCTTTGATAGTTTGAAATTTTTAATGCAAATCCCTATAGGCTACTAACCTGCGACATTTTATGTCAACATACAGTTTAAGCATTTGAATCAATTAAAAAAAAGCACTAATTTCAGTAATAACTCGGACAGCACGCTCTCAAAAGTAAAGGAATATTGTTGTGGAAAAAAAGAAGCATACCAATTTGAAACTAATTTTGCAAATCATCAAAACATATTACGGATTTTGAAAAATCAACATTATTCTGAAAGTTATGAAAGTGAATAATTATTTAGGCGTATTTTGGAATAATGTTTATAATAAACTAAATCTCACTATTGTAAAAAATATAATTTATCTGTGATAGATAATTAACTATTGTAAAATTAATATGTTACAATTATAATAGGTTTGTTATGAAATTAAATACTATGATTACAGGCATATAATTACAGCTTTTTATTATAAATTTCTAAACGTATTTGAGACAATTTGATTTTATTACGGTTTTTGAGTACTGTAATAATGTTATATATTATTTTTCATTATTTGTTACATTTTGTGTGACAATTCTGGGTAAAAGAAAGTTAGTGTAATTGAATTTTTGGCCATTTCTTGTACAAATTATAGTTTTCATGAATCTGAATTGATCGTCATTTTATTTGCGCAAATTAGGAGTAGCTATTAGGAGTTGAGAAATAGGTACATACTTCCCTGACAAGCTTTAAAAACATTGTGTGTCCCAAAGCCTAAGATGACGTTTCGACAACTTGGCTACTTTTACAGAAATGTTTCCAGAAAACGCATTTACGAAGCTGTAAGAGATTTTCCCCAAAGGTTCTGAAAATCGGGACAACACTATAAAAATACGGCTCCTACAAGTGCAGTTTGTTTATTTTAGTTTACTCCATGAATCAAGTCAGTAATCTGCGATATTTCTCGTACGTTGAAGGAAATTTCTTTCATCTCTGCATTCTCTGCAGTCTCCATGTTGTTTATTTTGCTGTGCATTGTTATTATTTGCAATAAATTGTCAAATTCTTCCTACTCATTTGGCGTAATTGCTTAAGAGATCTACAGGAACCCATAGCTAGCAATCATCGTAAAATTAACTTTTAGCATTTATAAAGTGTTATGAGATTAACTACAATAATTGTTTGTCAAATCATTGCAGTTTTCTGTGCTGATTTTCGATAGTCTATATTTCAGAGGTCACTAGAAATTTAGAATGGGAGAAACACGAAAACATTATCTCTGTCTCTGTCAGGAATCGAACCCCAGGATCTTCCCCTCGCTAACTGATCAAAACCACTCGCACCACGAGAGCACGCAAGGGGGAATACGATTCGTTCCTTGACATTTAAGTTAAAATATAAAATAAAAGCACTTCTAAATGTTGTAGAGAAGCTTCGTTGAATGTTAAAAAATTGTACTTATTTAATGGATATGTGTTGTTACACATATGTGTTCTATACCTCTTAATTGCGATCATTAGTTAAATTTTTCTAATAATTTGCCGAGATAGGCATTCATAACATATCCTGTGGATAGTTGAAAGCAAGCTCTTTAATCTTACAGTTTATAAGAAACTGAAAGTGACTAAGACATCTAATGGAGAAAATAGTTCTCAGCGTTTCCATTATATAAATTTCCAACGCAATAGGGCTGTCCAGGACTCTCATGACCTTTACTCAGAATACAGCGAAGATCATGTTACTGTGATAACTGGAAAATTACTGAATATGGGAGACGAAAGACACATGCTTCAGCATTTCTAGTTGATTGATGGGGCTAGACAGTGTGATCCTCCCAAAATGGATTTAGCAACGACTTAACAGCTCTTCCTACCTATCTATCGACGATTTGATAGATGAGACTTGTAGACGTTATCTCTAAGTTCAAGACATATGAAGGTCATAAGCGCAGTATATATATATATATAATTCTATGAACCCTCTCATGGCGATCACTGTCCTAAAATGGTCATTTTTGACAAATGATTTTTCCGAGAAAGAATAACTGAATACTGGCATTGCATATTTAGATAGACAAACTCTTTAAAGCGACCACCTTCACAGAAGACCCAAATATTCTGGAACTATAAGTGATTTTCTTAATCATGCTGAGCTGCTTACGTAGTGCAAAAATCAGTGGAATTTATAAAATTAACATTTATGTAAAAAACGACATCAGACGGATGTAGATTTTATACAAAACGTTATCAATTTTGGGAGCTACATAATATAATAGTACACTGAAGGAAATTAAAATGCTTATAATATCTTGAACAGAAATAATTTTTTTAATTAACCATCTGAAACTTTTTTACTA